GGAAATCCCAATTTGTGAAAGAGGACATGAAATTATATAAAAGATCCTGGGGTCCTGATTCTGTCATCTCAGATCTGCTTAAGCGTCTTCAAGGGAAGTTTGAGTTGTAAGGTTGAGGTCCCAGTTATACTGGTATGCCCTGAATGTGATATTTGGACACTGGACTATAAACTATGAACCATTTCTGAAAGATTTCAGAGTGGTAGTCGTGTTAGTTTGTATTCAGCAAAAACAACAAGGAGTCCTTGTGGCACCTTAGAGACTAACAAATTTATTTGGGCATAAGCTTTCATGGGCTAAAACCCACTTCATCAGATGCATGGAGTGGAAAATACAGTAGGGAGGTATAAATACACAGCATATGAAAAGATGGGAGTTGCCTTACCAAGTGTGGGGTCAGTGCTAAGGAGCCAATTCAATTAAGGTGGAAGAGGGCTATTCTCAACAGATGACAAGGGAGGAAAAATCACTTTTGTAGTGCTAATGAGTTCAAAGTAATCAAGATGGCCCATTTCAAACAGTTGACAAGAAGGTCTGAGTATCAGCAGGGGGGAAATTAGTTTTTGTAGTGACCCATCCACTCCCAGTCTTTATTCAGGCCTAATTTGATGGTGTCCAGTTTGCAAATTAATTCCAGTTCTGCAGTTTCTCATTGGAGTCTGGTTTTGAAGTTTTTTTGTTGAAGAATTGCCACTTTTAAGTATGTTATTGAGTGCCCAGGGAGATTGAAGTGTTCTCCTACTGGTTTTTGAATGTTATAATTCTTGATGTCAGATTTGTGTCCATTTATTCTTTCACGTAGAGACTGTCCAGTTTGGCCAATGTACATGGCAGAGGGGCATTGCTGGCACCTGATGGCATATATCACATTGGTAGATGTGCAGGTGAACGAGCCCGATGGTGTGGCTGATGTGATTAGGTCCTATGATGGTGTCCCTTGAATAGATATGCAGACAGAGTTGGCACCAGGCTTTGTTGCTGGGTTTGGTTCCTGGGTTAGTGTTTTTGTTGTGTGGTGTGTAGTTGCTGGTGAGTATTTGCTTCGCCAGTCCTCGCTTACAAACAGCCCCCCAACCTGAAGCAAATACTCACCAGCAACTTCAGGCTGGGGGGCTGTCTGCCCCCTGCATTAGCATGCAAAACCTCTTTGCCCATATCGCTCAGATTCTTGATTGGCCTAGAATCTGGACTGTGTTTTGGGCAGTGGCTCCTATTGCTTCATCTATTTTATTCCTTAAGGGAGCTTAATATTGTCTTACTTTTATGCCTACCAGCTTTAGTAGGGTTTCACCGAACCCCCCAGAATAACAGTAAACTTGCGTTTTACAGTCATCTACACCTGTGCCATTTTGATTTGGTAGCATTTTATACCCACATTGTAGCCACTTCACACAAGGCATCAGGAAATCAAACCTCCCGCCCTCCCCCTCCCAACCCCCCGCCCCCACAAAAACTTACACTCTAAATAGACAATGTCTAGACAAGGCTAGCTGTGTGAGTAAACAATTTTCACACATTAGTCACTTCAAATCTTCACTAGTTTAGTTAACAGTTCTTTGGTGGAAACATGACCTTTTTAAAGTGTGTTTTATGGAGGGATTTAAAGTAAGAGAGGGTAGAGGTATGGTGCGACCGGGGTCCTAGTGGGGAGCCAGTTGTGGTCACTCAATTAGGGTGAACTGCAAAGAATGGGACAGACAATCCCCATAAAGCTGGTGGATATTTCAATACCTAGATTTACCAAGCCAGCATAAAACAGCTTCTTTATTACCACACTGGTTACTCAGAAGTCCAAACAACACAGTTCTCTTAAAGTGATCCAGCCTCAGGCCTCTATCCAGGTACCCACGTCAAATATGATGAAAATTTCTGTAAATCTTATGTCATCATATAAAAGAAAAGGTTCTACCAATCCCAAAGGATCGGACGCATTACCTCCCAGGTTAATGAATGTTTCAGATCTTACCCAAATACACGCTACAGCCAATTCTTATTAACTAAACTAAAATTTATTAAAAAACAAAAGAGTGAAAGTGTGGTTAAAAGATCAATATACATACAGACATGAGTTCAATTCATTTAGGTGCAGATTCATAGCAGAGATGATGAGCTTTGTGTGTGTTGGAGGTGTATATTTGTCAAAAAAGCATTAGAAAAAAGACAGAATCAGAAAAAAAAGGCCGCAAGGAAGCACAAGAAACAGCCAGAGAAGCACTTGTAATGTGACCCTAAGAAATAGCTAAGAGAGAGCTTTTGGGAAGAGTGCTAACTGGAAAGGGGCTTGGAACTGTCGGCAAAGAAACTGTCTCCTATTGTTTGATTCTTACTGTGTTCAGGGAAACAGGACTTTGTACATTCTTTGTAAATAAAGAGGATTGCATCAAAGTATACCTGATTCTATCATCAATTTCTGCTCCTAAGGGAATCAACCTGCAAGATCCCAAATACTAACTACTTGGATCAAAAAGGGCAACATTAATTAATTCCTTTGTTGAGGGTAGAAACAGAGAAGGCAAGACAAAGTTGGCAATTTCTGGTATTTTCTAGTGTGCCCAGCAGTCCTTAATTTCCAGCACCTCTAGGCTTGGCAGTTCATAGCCCTGGCACCTCTGGGCTTGCCACGTCAATTATGAAAGTATAGAAATTGCTTGAGCCATGGCACCTAATTGCTTGAGCCCTGTCACCTCTTTCATTACAAATTAAGCACTGCTGCCCAGATTTAGGCATAAATTACAGTATAGCTTAGGCTGCTCCACCCACTCTTCAACATTCCTCCCTCCCTCCTCTGGCATTCCCTTCATGCTAGTGCCCAGGAGAGGAGCTGGCACAGAATGGTTATACTGGATGGGAGGTTCCATACACTGATGGTATTCCCCCAAAACTGTTTCTTCCCCCTTTTATTGGAAAGGCCTAAAGCAGTTATAGTGTAGGGGAGAATCAGGGCCCTTGTTTTCAGACTTGCCTTCAAAGTACATAGTGCACTGTTGTCATTCTACAGAAAATAAATAGTAATCACCTCCAAACTTATTTGAAGAAATACAGAAAAAAATAACTGTAGGGGTTGCCTCACTTTAATCAACCAAGATTAAAGCTAGAATAGGTATGATTGGATCTTGGAGCATATAATGCCAAGTTATTGGAATGGTTTTCCTATATTAGCATGTAGTGTTCCCTACATAACCTCATAGAACAGGATAAGTTTGAATCTTTTGATTTTCCTGGCTTATATACATTTAAGTCAAGAATCCATAGCATTAATATAAAGTGAAGGGGACAGTTTAGAATTTTGTGTTGACCAGAGAATCACTGTCAGGATTCCCTAAAATCACAATTTTTAATCCAGGCAGTGTCGACTTAGCCCTTCATCTTTCGAAGGCAGAACATTTTTTCGAAACAGTTTACTAAGTGTAGTGTCTTGGGTGAGCTCTTAAAAGGGACATCATCCACTTAAAAATCACAGTTCAATGTTTTTAAGTACAAGTAACACACAAGATGTCTATAACCGAAAGAGAGGGGAGAAAAATCTGTTTTTCCAATTTGTTAACTTTGTGCATATGACAGAATTTTGCGTATCATCTGTTTCCTTGTTATAAAAGTAGGAAAATATGGTTGTAAGCTAGAAAAAGTAGCAAGGGGAACTCAGGGCCAGGTCTAATATCTGAAACTACTTTTAACTACTTTTTAATAATTTACTCAATTTCAGGTTGATGGTAGTGACTCTTTCAAAAGTGTTTTGCTCTTCCTGAACATAATACTGTCAGCTTTAATATGTCCCAACAATTCAAGTTTTGTAAAGATAATATTTTAATAAAATTATATGAAAAAGAGTCTTGACTATGTCATTAAACATAACAAGACATGTGCTTCCTTGTCTACTACGTCACCTGTAAATTCAAGATCAGCTAATTTGAAGCCTTAGGCTAATATGCCACTTCTTTTTAAAAAGCATTGAAAGGCATAAGAAGATGTACTAATTTGCAATCTGTTCTGACTTATTTTATACTTCCTGTAGGCTATGTAGGTTTTATTTATTTAAAATACCATAGCAAGTTTATCTTCATGCCTAGCCATTCCTAAACATACTCTAGGCAGATTAGATAATGATACATTCTGCACAAAATGTGCCCAAGGGTGTGTTAAGGCTGGATTTCCACTTTGAACTTTAGGGTACAAATGTAGGGGCCTGCATGAAAACTTCTAAGCTTAACTACCAGCTTAGCTCTGGTTCCGCTGCCACCATTTCCCAATTTTTCCCTCCCTGGGAAGCCCTGAGAAACCTTTCACCAATTCCCTGGTGAGTACAGATCCAAACCCCTTGGATCTTAAAACAAGGAAAAATCAATCAGGTTCTTAAAAAGAAGGCTTTTAAAGAAAAAAAGTAAAAATCATCTTTGTAAAATCAGT